CCCTTTTTCCACACATACAACTTTGCTCCAGCCTGTAGATTACTAAGCAATCAATTCTCCCCAAAAGTCCACTCTTCATTTTCAGCAATCAAATCTTTTGATTTGCAACCTATAAACATGACAACAAGACTTTCCTTAAGAGGTCTACCAATTTACAATGCCAGCCAATCTTACAACCAATTTGCCAAAAATAAGCCAACACAAAAATGCACTAACAATAACAAAAAAGGCCTTTCCATGACAAGCGATATTATTGTTGGTGTTAGGTATTTTATTAGTTGATAATTTATTGGCAATATTGTAAAAATTTTAAAAATAAGTTCAAGAAGATTTTGTATTGCAGAAGAATATTCAGAATCAGATTTGAAGAGATAAGGATAAGGACTTAGTCAAAAGAAGATAAGATATTGGTTATTTGAATTTAAGTGAGATTCTAGAAAGCGATAAGGATCAAAAAGATTATGTGGAGAATTTGAACTGATGATTATCTGGATTTGGGAAGGCTATAAACGTGGAAGATAAAAGAGATATGGATTTGAATTTAAATGGGAGATAAAGCTTGCATGAAGATCAAGTTATTTTCGGATTCGAATTCTTGGCTTCATCCGATTATTGTTAGGAGTTGATATATATATATATATGCATTCACGTGAGCTACACAAAGAAGATTAAGCTTGACCTACACATGTGATTGGAACTTGAAATTTGACTTGGTCAAAGAAAATTCAAATATAACTTGCTATAATGAAAGATAAGGCATTCGAAGATCAAGTGTTATCTTGCAACAAGGATAATTAATTTAGATTTGAAAGTTTGCGGCATAATTTGAATTGGAGATTGAGAAGATAATGTGAAGATATTTTGGAGCCTATTTAGGAGAGAGAATCATGGAGATAATAGAGATCTTATCGAGAGTGGATTTGAATAAGATTCTCTTGACTTTATTTTAAGGTTTTGTTTCATAGTATATGTGACGATTTTAATAGAACATCTCCAGAGGAAAAGTTTGTGAATTTCAGAGCTTAATATTGAGAAAATATTTAGAGAGACGTTTGTGAGTTTTTATTGAGAGCGTTCTTCGGGTGAGAGATTTGTTGCTTTCGGGAGGAAGCTTTGCCGGTCGAAGGAAGTTCGCCAGGTGAATAGAAGACGTGTGGTGCACGCTAAACAATCACTGTGGAGATTCATCAGAACGACGTCATTGTCTAGGAGGGAGTCCTTAAGTGAATAAGTCCGTCCGGTGTCTGTAATTTCTAGAACATAGTGAAACTGTTTACTGTCTGGGCATAACCCCGCATATGTAGGTGTGCGCACTGAATTGCGATATCATATTGTGTGTTCCTTTACTTTCTGCACTTTATTCTGCTCGAGCAACTGAACGTAATTAACCTGGATCTTAATTAATTAAGCCGTGGTCCAGACAGTGTTCCAACATCATCTGGAACACCAGACGTAAAATCAGATGTAACAGTTAGGTACAGCTATCTAGCATTTAAAAAAAAAACCGAAAAAGCATTCATAATGTAAGTAGGTCTTTACTAATATTCATTAACTTGTAAATTGGATACTAAAAATGAAAAACAATAATAATAATAAGTGAAACAGAGCTTCTGTTTTGAACAATTAACCTTTAAAGCCCTTTGCTATATATGGATTAAATTTACGACGATGGTTGCTAATAGTAAGTAAGTCTCTTCGAATCCATGTGTTCTGATACGTTAATTCCCACTTTACTGCTAGCAAAAATGACTGATATTTAACTATAGTTTAACATTCGTTAAATTTACGACGATGGTTTACTGAAGTTGTTAAATGCTTGTAGCATTTGACTATGGTCCTTAAACGTTCATTAATGTGTAGAAAGGATTTTCAAAACACGGAATGGCTTATGCCGCCTTTTTCGTAAAGACTTTAGACAAATATTTCTTTGAAACCGTCTTTATCTATGCGAACATAAATCTACTATTTATAGTGGATTGGTGATATAGGAGATGTTTCGGTCGAGATATTGAATATGAAATCGTAGATCTCTTCAAAAATTATAGACACGACATACGTACTTTAAGAAATTAACATTTACGAAACCACAAATTCGTGTCAAATTGTATTTCAATTACTGATCTTAGATTGTAAATCTAACGATCATAAATTTATTGTAACGCCCTCTAGAATTAAACATGTTTAATTATGCTAAACTGTGAATTATTAGTGTGCCTAATTTGATTTTCACAATTAATCAAGGGACTTTAAGTTATTTTCAGTATTTATTATTTCACCCCAAAAGTTTTTGGAAGCACACTTAAATTTTAATGCATTTTCATTTTTTCCTATTTTTTTCCCTTTTTTCTTTTTTTCTCCTTTTCTTTTCTTTTTTCTTTTTTCCTTTCCCCCTTTCCCTTCCCGTGCAGTCCAGCCCCCTCTCTCTCTCTCTCTCTTTCTTTTTCTTTTTCTTCTTTCTTCTATGGTTCTCCCACGCCACCACCGCCGCCTCTCTCTCTCTCTCTCTTTCTTCCTTCACCACCGGCCACCTCCTTCTCCGGGCTCTCTCTCCCGCCGGTTCTCTCTCTCTCCCTTACTCTCTCTGAGTTTCTCTCTCTCTCTCTCTCTCTCTCTCGGCAATTTGGCGGAGAGACATAAAAAAAAATGAACGAAAACGGGAGAAACTGAGGGAGACAAAGCTCCATCAACTGATTTGAGGTCCAACCCTTTGAAACCTACTCTTTGATTTGAATTTTAAGCTTCAGAAAGTTTAATTTTGGTTAGATTTGAATAATTTTGAGTTAGGGTTTGGATTTGAACAATTGTTGTTAGAATTGAATGAAATTTGGGAGTTTTTAGTTATTGGACTTGTTTAATTGATTGGAAACTGGTTTTGATGGATTCGGGAGAATATATTTTAAAATTGAACTTGAATTGCAGGTTTGATATTTTTCCTATTTATGCCGATATGCTGCCGAAATTTCTTTAAAAACATGTTTTTAAACTGAAATTAAATAGGAAACCAAACCCATGGATTGGATTTCAATTTTTAAAGAACCCCCAAACTGAATTATAAAATCATTTGTGAAACTTGGATTTGAGTCAAGGCACACTAATAGGAAACAATTAAACATGATCGAGCTTAATTCGTTTTAGGAATGAGAAATATATCCTAAGACACTGCTTTTGTCATAAAGCTAGTGGAGAAGATAGAGTATTAAAGCTTTAAGGCAAGCGGAGCAAGGGTTACGTGAAGATAGCCACAGGTTTGACATCCAAAAGATAGGATATTCTTGTCTATATCCTTGTTAGCCTCACTTTAAATGATTTTGGCCCATGAAAATATTTTAGAACAAAACATGTTTAAAGAAAATGATTTCAAAGGAATAGCATGAGAATGGTATTACGTTTTCCAATGATTTTGGAAATGAAATTTTAAAGAGTATCATTTCTTAAAATTGAAAAATCTTAAGAAATGATACAAAGCATGGTGGCCTCAGAGATCGGGATATGGGAATCGTATCCTTTAGGGCAGGTCCTGAAACCCGTACGGATCCACTTCTTGCTCAGTGGAATTATGGCTCTGCACTTTTCACTAGACAGACATTTTACCACTTCTTGCTCAGTGGTATGATGAGCTACACACTTTCATTATACATATATTTTCTACTATGTGAGTATTTCCTTTTCTAAAGAGGATGATCGGTTCCGGGTGCATGTCTTCGGATCGTGAGTACCTTTATTTAAAATGTTATAAGATTATATCCTATTGGGCCTTTCGCTCACTTTTCTTGTTTTCAAATGTATTAAACCCCTCCAGGTGACGCGAGTAGTAGTGCGGAGTAGGTAGCTACTACTGGTGACGTGGAATCGTCTTCGGGAAGCGAAGAGTTGTATTTCTACTTATCCTTTATCTCAAGGCATGTATAAATTATGGATTGTAAACTTAAATATTGCTAGACTGTGGTTGATGTCACATTTAATTTTATTTTTATCCATGTATGCTAAACTTGTGGGAGTTTCAGACAGGATGCCAGGGCATGGTTTTAAACTGGTTCGGTTAGAAATTCCACCACCCTTCTTGAAATTAAATTTCTCCTAAATGCAGGGGGCTTGTTTGGAAATACTTGGATGTTTTAGGTTTTGGAAAAGGCTAAATTTTTGCACGGTTATGTGCTAATCACTCTCTTAAACAGATTTAAGTTTCTAAACAAGCCTCCACGTCACTAACCCCTATTTGGGGGCGTGACATTTATATGGTAGGATAGCTAGGCGATCAAAATAGTAAAGTTATTGATGACTCGAAAGTCGAGACTTTAGTAGAACATTTGTAAGTAGCATCAGTTTTTGTTGTCTATGACAGGAATGAACTTATTTCTTCATATTGCACAAAATTGTGCATATTGTAAGTTCAATGTATATTATTATGTGAAAGATGTTTCTTGATTCTTCTTTGTCGCATTGAATGTGCGTATGGACTTAGAGTAGCAGTAGAATTTTAATCTGTGAAAAAGTCAAAGTCAAAGTCAACAAAAAGGTCATATGTCTAAACAAAGTCCAATTTCATAGAAAATTAGCATAAATGCTTAAAGAGACTAAAATTACTGCCGTTACAAGAAATAATGACAGTAATACGATATGATTAAAATTACTGTCATAATAAGAAAAATGACAGTAAGAGGATATATGAAGTAAAAATGCCAAATGATAAGAAGTTAATAAAGTTGTTTGTACCGGCCTTCGCAAGGGAGGTTATTATGATTATGAATGAAATGAAACCGTAAGTGAGTTAGTTTTGGGTCGCTGCCCCACTCCTCATTAGTTATGCGCACTACGGTACAACATGTATTGGGCCCATAAAAAGTAAAAGTTATGAGAAACGAATGACACGAGAATGAAAGTTGTAAAGAAGTATGAAATGAAAAAAAAAAAAAGAAAACATAACACGATGAAATGAAAGAAAAGAAAGTATAACACGATGAAATGAAATAAACGAAAGCATATTACGTTAAATGCTTTAAATGTTTAGAAAATAAGCTAGGGTGCATGACATGAATGCATATATGGGTATGCATTACTGATTGCACTTGTTGCGGTCTGCTGTTACTTGTTGAGCGAAAACTCATCCCATTTGTTCGTGTTGTAGGGAACTCGGGTAAGACAGCGGCTCCCTGAAACAAGTATGCTGAGCGTGCAGAAAAGGATATAGCAGTGGGATGTGAGCAAGTGAGTAATAGATGCACCACATGTTTTGAAAACACTATAAAAGATTAAAATAATTCAAAAAACAAAAAAAAAGTAGTAAAACTATACAAATAAAAGCAAAAAATGTTGTAAAACTTCTGATGATTACAAACAAAAAAAAAAGGAAAAAAAAAAGAAAAAACAAGCATATTCCTCCTTGCTGGAATCCTAAAGAAAAATTAAAATATGGTAAGATTAGAGACAGAGAAAGAGAAGATAATTCACCAATTGGTTCGTACCAAACATATCCTAATTGTGCTCATTTTCAACAAGATTCATCTACCGAGAAGCAGTAAAACATTGTACTCGTGCTGCAAAACCAGGCAGTAAACCCCGGATAATTTGGTGGGAACTTAAAGCTGCCGTTCCCTTGTCGACCACCTGTGCTCATCTGTTTCATTTCTTTAGGTGGGACTCGCAAAACCACGAGAATAATGTGATTAATAATTAGGTGCTGGAATCACTATATAATATTAAGCTAGTTAGTCACCCAAGCAAACCAACACCCTTCTCCCATTTCGAAAGCACATACAATGGTGAGGTCCTCTACGTGTAAAAATGAGTGTGCTATTAGTTATATATATGTGTGTATATATATATACAAGTACATATATAAACTTTTTTCTTATGATTCTCCGGCCCGTACTGTGCACGTTACTTTTTTCTTATCGCATGCAATTTATTCAACGTCATTTTTTGAAAGGTGTAACACGAAAAAAATTAGTTATCTGCTATTATTACATCTTTACAACGTAAGTGATCTTGCGAGATTTATGATTTCTATATGTTATGTGGAGGTACAGTCCTCTAAAAGAGGAGCATAGGCAAGCTCTAACACACATTTGGAAGACTCCATATATACCATATTATGTCATATATATCAATTATATATACAGTATATATATTGTACCAATATATTTCTATGGTGATGCTTGGGACGATGGGTCCTATACTGGAATTCGAGAAATCGAGCTTTTTCATGGTGATACCATTGAGGCCATTTTTCTTGTTTATGATTTGAATGGCCAGCCCTTTCCAGTGTCCGAACATCCAGGAAACAAACCCTCTGGGAAAAAGGAGAAGGTTAGTAGTTCCTTTTTTTTTTTTTTTTTTTTTGCTTCATTTTTTTAGCTAAAAGAATGTTATAGCACTACCACCTATTAAATCAAAAGGCCAATTTTTGTAGTAAGAGCTACAATTTTTCCCTATCAATACGTAGGATTAGCCGTTGGATTAACATTTTAACGGTTTCACTTATAATTAGAAATTATTTTGTGTGCCTTGCTGTAAATTTTTAACGTGGATACTCACGAATCAAACGGTTAAAAAGTCAAGGGAATAACTAGAATAATAGTTCCAAATACCGGTAGGATAATGGAACAGTTCCTACACGTAGAAATTTTCATAAATAAAATCACAATGACAATATATATAATTTCCTTTGTTTTTCTTCCTTAATCTTCGAAATGCAGATTGTACTACAATTTCCAGAAGAATTCTTAGTGAGCGTGAGTGGGCACACTGGTGTGCTTCCTCCAGTGGTTCCGGGGAAGGATGATGTTATACGCTCACTAACATTCAGAACCAACAAGAAAATCTATGGACCATATGGAGTTGAAGAAGGCACACATTTCAGTCTCCCAATTGAAACTGGTTTAATTGTTGGATTCAAAGGAAGAAGCGGTATTGCTTTGAATGCCATTGGCTTTCACTTGTCACTTTAAGATCACCAATATAATAATTATTAAATAAAATGGCGTCTCTATATATATATAGAAGATGTCTTGGCTTTCTGTTTAATTACGAATAAATTCAAATCTCCAAGCGTACATTATGGTTATTTGGCAGTTTAACTGACTATTATAGCCATGATATAGGTATAAGGAGTTATTTGAGATGTGTGTGTAATGTTTAAAATAAGCTCTCTATGTAGAGCTCTGTGTGTGTAATATGTGATGAAGTTGCTGTGATGTTTGAATTAAGCTCTACACATAGAGCTAATTAAATAAAATCCAGCAAGAATGTTTAATATTTTAAGTTCTTAAATTGTCATTTTTTTGCAATATTTTTGCTTAATTTATTCATCAGATATATATTATTTTAAATACCTTTAATATGTACGGATTCATGATATTACCCCTCCAAGTTAATGCGTGACAAGACCTTCAAACATTTTCTTGAAGCAATTATTGGAATCGGAAGCATTCTTCTGAGCAGGTGATGTGTTCTTTAGTTCGGAGTGACTTGATTAACATATCGTCGATGCATACTTCTATAGTTTTTCTACGTAAACCTCGGAATGTTTTGTTTACCAACGTTTGGTTGTAGATCTTAACGGGTTCTTAAGTTCGAATGATGTGATCTTGTAATAATACATCCCGTATAAGAAATTACTTGAGATGTGTGTGTAATGTTTAAAATAAGCTCTCTATGTAGAGCTTTGTGTGTAATATGTGATGAAGTTCTTGTTGGCAAATACGGCATCGAGTGTGCAATGAAATTTTAAAAAAAAATTTAATCAAAGTCAAAGCTAACTAAGGACATGTTAATGACGCTATACAGTATAAATACTAAAGATCTAAATCATGCCTTTAGAGATTTAGGAATCAACACGTCTGACAGATCAAAACGTTCCGAACAGCAATCGGAAGAGCCTCAACCAACTGGTATTCTTTGCTATTCTCATTTTCACGATCGGAGTGCTGGTGGGCACACATCGTTCAATCTCCTCTTGGTATTTTTGAACTCCTTCCAACCACAAGAGAGCCAAAGGAAAAACATTCTTGAAAATTAAATAATTTTTCTTCTTAGGAATCTTTCGCCAATAGCCCCCAAAAAGTCTCTCAAGTGATCTAATGAACAATGTGACTTATTGGGCTATTATAGTATTTAGGAAGTCATATATCCGTAACAATTAGGTGTCCCAAAGTTTATCTAGCTTAAAGAGTCAGTTTCGCCACGTCAGCATGCGCTACACGTTACAACCGATCGACCCGTGATAGAGAAGTTATAACTCACCGGTCAACCTGCCCTTCAGTCGACCGGACCGGTAGACCTGTCTGAACTAGAGAAACTTGTTTTCCTAGTTTTTCAACATGGGAAACTTGCACAGAGCCTCAGTTTTGATTCAAGCAATCCAATAGGATAGTTACTTGATCAAAAGAATCATATAATAGTCTTTCCACATTAAATAACTCTCTAAACAATAATTCAACCAATTTATCTACAATAATTTAACAATTAATCCACTCGATAAATTACTTATGAATTAAACAACCTGAAACTTTAATTTAACCAATTCATCTAGAATTAATTTATCAATTAATTCACCTGATAAATCACTCATGAATTAGTTAACCAATCTCATATTATCTTTGAACCTCTTTTACGGAAATAACACAAGTTACCATGGGAGTACCAGGTGAATACCGGGTGGAGTTCGCAGCTTTGAAGTTTGAAGGTCCAGCTGGTGCGTGGTGGAAGCAGATCCGGTGAATGCATGATGTAGAGGGGATGACTTGGGATCAATTTGAAGCGCTCTTTTATGAGCAATTCTTTCCTCAAAGGTATCGAGATGAGAAGGCCAGGGAATTCATGGGCCTACAGCAATGAGATATGACAGTGAGGGAATATAAAGCTAAGTTCAATGAGCTATCCTGTTATGCTCATTCCTTGATTGAGTCGGAGCACATGAAGTGCCTTAAGTTTGAGAGAGGTCTTAAAGGTGTAATCCAGAAATCAGTGGTTGCCTTAAGGCATCGAGTCTACAGTGACTTGGTTGCAGCGGCCATCTGTGTCGAACAGGAGCACATCGCCTTCCTCCAAAGTCGAGAAGCTTCAGGAAGAACTTTAGGAGGACCCCAAAGGAATGCCTAGTGGTAGCAGTCGCTCTTCGGGAAGTGGGAAGAGTGGATCCTACAGTTTCAAGTGTCACAATTGTGGGGAGCCGGGGCATTTAAAAAGAAATTGTCCTCTTATGAGCCAACAGGTGAACCAACAGGCCCAGCAACCACAGTAGAAGGACACCTGGAAACAAAGGACTGTGCGGGTTCCCTTTGGAAAAAAACTGCTCAAACAAAAGGACACATGGGACTTCATTGCCGAATCGAACGAAAGAAGGACGTTCGAATTATAGGAAAGAGATTGATTGGAGTTTGCTAAGTGTGGAAATTGGACTCTTCACTGGGTTCGGAATTGTTGCTATGCCACTCGTGCTTTCACGAAGATGGAGGATATGGTACTACGACCGTGTCGATGACATCATTCTCAGGATCTTTCGGTTGGCTGTTGGAAGGAAGTGGTTTCTGTGGATGACTACCTAACCAATTTGGCATTAAAAAGCAATGGAGCTTGATTGGAAGGTGTCTCTGATGAGTTAATTACTTTTATCTTTGTTTGTAAATACGAATCTTAAAATGGTTTCTTTTTCCACGTAGTTATACAATACGATAGCCAAACAATAATTACATCAGGTTTTTTTTTTTTTGCTGCAAATAATTACTTTGAGCCTGTTTGAACGAATCACTAGCTCTGTTTTATCTTCTTTGAGTGCGCATTGTGCCTCTCAAATTCTAGAGGCACAAGGATGGGAGTTTTAAGGGAAAAGCCACCGACCCAGATTATGATCTGTGCATATATAAAATCTAGTGTTATAAATATGTCTAATCATCTTAGATGTCTAACCAGCAGTGGCATTGAGGAGCAGTCAAGCTTGATTGGAAAGCTCATGGTGAGACAGATTACGTTTCTTATCTCTCTTTTTTTCTTTTTTTTTTTTTTTTTGAGTTTGAAGTGTGAAAATAAGATTTGCATTCCCATGTGTAAAAGTGTAATGCAAGTAAAGTGTGTTTGATATAGTAATTTAGCCACATGTAATGAAAGAAAAATGTTTCTCTAGTACTTTAACAAATCCTGTTGCTGTTAGTTATATAAATACAGTTGTCGTACTATTATTACTGCTTATTGTGTTCAGCCAAAAAAAATAGCTCTGTTTCAGCTTGTTTCAAAATTGTGCATTGTGCCCGTCAATTCCAAGGAATTCCTTCGATTAAGTTCATGATCTGCTCATGCATATAATTTAAAAATCGTAGTTTTTCCAGTTGTTTGTAAAACTCTTTTCTTTTTTTTATTTTTTTTTTATTTTTTTTAATGAACACGCAAGTTATTCAAGGGTTAAAAAATATTTTGTTAGTTTGGAAATAGTCTCAAACGCTTTCTCATAAAACTCCTAACTTAAGACCTAAATATATCATCTATCAAACCACGCGAGAGTAAACCTAAAATCACTAGACTACCACCTTGGTTATTGCGCAAGAGGTTCGAGACCATTCTCGCTGGATTTTATTAAGCAAAAATATTGAAAAAAATGACAATTTAAGAACTTAAAATATTAAACATTCTCGCTGGATTTTATTTAATTAGCTCTATGTGTAGAGCTTAATTCAAACATCACAGGAACATCATCACGTATTACACACACAGAGCTCTACATAGAGAGCTTATTTTAAACATTACGCACACATCTCAAATAACTCCTTATACGTATATCATGGCTATAATAGTCAGTTAAACTGACAAATAACCATAATGTACGCTTGGAGATTTGAATTTATTAGTAATTAAACAGAAAGCCAAGATATCTTCTATATATATATAGAGACGCCATTTAATAGTTATTAAATTGGTGATCTTAAAGTGACAAGTAAAAACCAATGGCATCCAAAACAAAACCGCTTCTTCCTTTGAATCCAACAATTAAACCATTTTCAATTGGGAGACTGAAAGGTGTGCCTTCTTCATCTCCATATGGTCCATAGGTTTTCTTGTTGGTTTTGAATGTTAGTGAGCGTATAACATCCTTCCCCGTAGCCAGTCGAGGAAGCACACTAGTGTGCCCACTCACGCTCACTAAGAATTCGTATGGAAATTCTAGTGTAATCTGCATTTCAAAGCTTAAGGAAGAAAAACAATGGAAATTATATATATTGTCATTGTGATTTTATTTATGGAAATCGCCAGAAATAAGTTCTTATCCCTTGGTGTCAAAGGGCGAGTTCCTTTCTTGTCTTGCCCTAACATATTGTTTCGGTTAGCTGGTGTTAGTTTTAGAGTAAGGTCTCGACTCTATTTTACCAATCGTACCCCGCGATGGGAAAGATTATGGGTTGCATCTACAAAACCACCTGGTACATCTCGATCCCCTTTTCCAGATATCTACATTGCAAGGGGTGTTTCTACGTGTAGGAACTGTTCCTTTATCCTATCGTTATTCGGAACTGTTATTCTAGTTATTCCCTTAAATTTTTAACTGTCTGATTCGTGAGTGTCCACATTAAAAATTTGCAGCAAGCCACATAAAATAAAACGGTTTCTAATTATAGATGCAAGGGGTATTTTTCCCTACGTAATGGTAGGGAAAAATAGTTGCTCTTACTACAAAAATGGGCCTAAACCGTTAAAAAGTCAATCCAACAACCAATCCTACGTAATGGTAGGGAAAAATAGTTGCTCTTACTACAAAAATGGGCCTTTTGATTTAATAAATGGTAGTGCTATAACATTCTTTTAGCTAAAAAAGTGAAGGAAAAAAAAAAGAAAAAAAACAAACTACTAACCTTCACCGTTGCATAAGAGGGTTCGTTTCCTGGATGTTTGGGTCCTGTAAAGGGCTGGCCATTCAAATCATAAATCAGATTTCTTGAATTCCAGTATAGGACCCATCGTCCCAAGCACCACCACCAAGCCCTCCCCATGGTCCCACTACTATTGTCTGACTTGTCCCGGTGCTTTGCGTGTTCGTGCTTGTGCCCGCCTATAAAATACCTTTTTTAAATGTTACAATATTCCATTAGATGATCAATATATTGGTAGAATATATATACTGTATATATAACTGATAGGATATAATATGGCATGAAGTCTTCCAAATATGTGTTTAGAGCTTGCCTATGCTCCTCCATACTTCCATATAACATATAGAAATCATAAATATAATCTGACATTTATTCATCGTAAGATCACTTACGTTGTAAAAGTGTAATAATAGCAAATAACTAATTTTTTTAGCGTTACACTTTTCAAAAATTATATTAAATAAATTATATACCATGTTTCTCATTTCTATATGTTACATGCACAGTACGGAAAATCATAACAATATATATATATATATAAATATAAATAAAAGTAATAGCACACTCATTTTTATACGTGGAGGAGCTCACCATTGTATGTGCTTCCAAAATGGGAGAAGGGTGTTGGTTTGCTTGGGTGACTTACTAGCTCAATATTATATAGAGATTGCACCACCTACTTATCCGGGGTTTACTGCCTGGTTTTGCAGCACGAGTAAAATTCATGTTTGGTTGAAGGACTTACTAGCTCATTGTTTTACCGTTTGTCAGTAGATGAATCTAGTCGTGAAAATGATAGCACAATTAGGTTATGTTTGGTACGAACCAATTGGTGCATTGTCTTCTCCTTCTCTGTCTCTAATCGTACCATATTGTACAAAGACAGATGTGGACAAAGAAGAAATTCAGAAAAAAAAAAACAGACATATATGGGTCTGTTTTACGTGTGGACAAAAAAGACCGATTGAAATTAAGAAAAAAACAAAAAAAAACACATGGGCCTAAGATGATGGAAATTAAGAAAAAGACAACTGGGAATTCAAAAAAAAAAAAAAAGAAGACAGATGGGTCTCTTTCACGTGTAGAAAGATTAGAAAAGAAGAAAAGTTAAGTTTTTTTCTAAGTAGACACGTGTCAATATTAAGAAAGAAAAAAAATTCAGGTTTTCTTCTAAGTAGACACATGTCAAGATCAGAAAAGAAAAAAAAATTCATGTTTTCTTCTAAGTAGACACGTGTCAAGATCAGAAAAGAAGAAAAGTTCAAGTTTTCTTTTAAGTAGACACGTGTCAAGATAAGGAAAGAAAAAAAAATTCAAATTGTCTTCTAAGTGGACACGTGTCAAGATAAGGAAAGAAGAAAAGTTCAAATTGTCTTCTAAGTGGACATGTGTCAAGATTAAGAAAGAAGAATAGTTCAAAATTTTCTTCTAAGTAGACACATGTATCAATATCAAGAAAGAAGAAAAGATCAAATTGTCTTTCAAAAGACACTTGTCAAGTTATGGACACTTGGAATTTCATCAATGGCCAAGATTTAGCAAAAACACTTGTAATCCAAGGGTAGATACTAGATAAGGAATCAATGGCTACGATCTATCCACATAAGCTTTAATTCAAGGGTTAAAATGTAAGATGACATACTATAAATAGGTGATGGATTCTTTCCATCCTTCATATGGAGAAAGCTAGAGAGAGAAAGTTAGAGAGAAAGAAAAAGATAGAAAAGAGAAATAGAGGAAGAGAGAAAGAAAGAAAGCAAGAGACAAAACCGAGAGAAGGATTTTCCTCTTGACCAGAGAATTTGTAAGTTGACATTCCACTACATCACTTGAACAGTAATACATGAAAGTTTTCAGTTTATGAAAATTGTCAATTTATATATATTTGACATGTTTTCCTGAGATTAAGAAACTGTTTTCGTTTTCAAAATATGATATGAATCTTGTGTTGGTTACGAACCGAATCAGTTAGTAAAAGGGTCAAATCCTTGAGGAACAAGAGTTTCGGAGACAGGGTCCACCAAATAGAACATAAAGAGGTTCTAATAACACAAGATGAATGTCAGACAGAAAGGCCCTAAAAGTGTAAAGAAAAGTATTTTAAAAGTGGAAATTATTTTACGGTTTACTTACTGAGCTTTAGCTCACATAGTTCTCGTGATACAGGTAAGCTCTCAGTAGAAGTTCCAGTTGACTGAGTAAGAGCGGTATGATATAAAGATTATTTCTCTATTTAAGCAGTAATATAGTAAACTAAGTTAATGTTTCTCTCGAGTTGGTGTAGTTATTAGTGTTGGTTGCCCGAATCAAATCCGGATGCGGAAGCGCGGTGGTGCGAGGAAGAGGTGGATCATGTATAACAAAAATTTTCATAAAACTTTTGAGATACTCTATAGATTATATTAATTTATGCACGAATAAATTAATCTCATTAACTTATATATATCAAGAACTCAATCAGGAAAAATACCTGG